GAGATTTAAGGGACACTTATGGGTGCTCTCATTTTGCTGTCGTCTTAGATTTTGTCTTTTCTGGCATTTCTACATTTCCCTCTATATGGGAAAGAATATCTTTTTCTAATGAGGCTTTTTTTGTATCTCTCTCGCTTATTTCAGAACATACTTTTTAAATTTAGTTTAAATCTTAATGGAACATAATGGGCTTGCATTTGAAAAGTAGCCTCTGTTGTGGCAGATACAATTTTTAACTTACAATTAAAAGTTGATGCATGATAATTGCAGCTCATTTATACTGTTGAAAATAGATTTCCAACTCTGTGACCTGTGGGCACCTTGCCAGTGTTTGGATGTTTTATATGCTTAAACTTCACATGCAAAAATTGAAGGTTGGATAAACCCCCCATTAAAAATCAGGACTCTGTGCTTATTATTATTATTAAAACAAAAATGAGTGTCAAGCTTATTCCATTAGGAGCAAAAGAAATCTCTGAACCAGTGGGCCAAATCCTTTCCTTGAGTTTTAACATGACTTGCTTGCAATGGAAATCTCCTTAGACATACAGACATAGTTATGCATCCGATGAAGTGAGCTGTAGCTCACGAAAGCTCATGCTCAAATAAATTGGTTAGTCTCTAAGGTGCCACAAGTACTCCTTTTCTTTAAGGAGGAAACAATTCTATATACCTTGTGAAGTTTTGTTACCATTATGTACAAATGATGAATCATCAATATACATAGTACCAGATCTAAACTGGGAGAAGTATTACTGAAATCAATGGATCTACACCTGTTTACACCAGGGCCAGATGTAAAGCCAGTGGAAAGACTGCCAGTGTCTTCAATGGGCTTTGGATCAGGCCCATAGTGTAGTGCAATTGGTACACAAGCATTCCCAGCAACAAAACGGTGGAATATGAATCCCAAATAACTGGATTGCATGACTTAACCAAGTAGCTCCCATGCCTAGTAGGAACCAGTGTAGGCAGGCTGCACCAGGGAAGTAGAGACAGACAAAGGGTATGTGTGTTTAAAGATATCTGCTATAAAATTTTGTGCACAGTTTCTAAAAATATCTTTATATTCAAAATTATATATAGTTAATACAGAATAAATACTTGCTATTTATTTAATAGAGAATAAATGCTAATTAATGTTAATTAAAATGTCTATATACTTGCACATTAAGATGAGTTTATCTTCCAGTTCAGAAAAATGTTAAACACATGCTATAAGTGAGCTGTAGCTCACGAAAGCTTATGCTTAAATAAATGTTAGTATCTAAGGTGCCACAAGTCCTCCTTTTCTTTATGCTATACACTATTACACAACATGGCAGTAATTTGCTGAGAGAGAAATGACTTAGGTTCCTTGACTGAGTTCAACTGCATATTGGGGGAACTTTACATAAATACCTGTAGGTTGATCAAATTAGTAGGTTGATAATTTTGAAACAGAGAAATAGGAACCACATATCTTTTCCCCTGTTGAGTTCACTGGAACTTTAAAGAATTATAGATTCATTCCAAAGTGTTTAACGTCTGCCATTTGATTTAGCCCTAATAACCTTTCTAGAACCACTGAACTGGCTTTCATTCTGTTCTGTAATCCTGCAAAATAGCTTTTAAGAAAGTTGGTAGTTTGACTGACCTGGCTGTTGAAGCTGATCAGTGTCAATGAAATATGGGCCCAAGCTGCAAGAATTGGATCCAGATCTTAATTTCAAACACCCCAGCAATGAAAGTTGTCAAGGTTCCTCCCCCACTCTGAACTCTAGGGTACAGATGTGGGGACCTGCATGAAAACCTCCTAAGCTTACTTTTACCAGCTTAGGTTAAAACTTCCCCAAGGTACAAATTAATTTTATCCTTTCTCCTTGGAATATTCACTGCCACCACCAAACTCTAACTGGGTTTACTGGGAAACGTAGTTTGGGCACGTCTTTCCCCCCAGAATCCTCCCAACCCTTGCACCCCGCTTCCTGGGAAACATTTGGTAAAAATCCTCACCAATTTGCATAGGTGACCACAGACCCAAACCCTTGGATCTGAGAACAATGAAAAAGCATTCAGTTTTCTTACAAGAAGACTTTTAATAGAAATAGAAGTAAGTAGAAGTAAAGGAATCACCTCTGTAAAATCAGGATGGTAGATACCTTACAGGGTAATTAGATTCAAAACATAGAGAACCCCTCTAGGCAAAACCTTAAGTTACAAAAAAGACACACAGACAGAAATAGTCATTCTATTCAGCATAGTTCTTTTCTCAGCCATTTAAAGAAATCATAATCTAATGCATACCTAGCTAGATTACTTACTAAAAATTCTAAGACTCCATTCCTGTTCTATCCTCGGCAAAAGCAGCGTGCCGACAGACACAGACCCTTTGTTTCTCTCCCTCCTCCCAGCTTTTGAAAGTATCTTGTCTCCTCATTGGTCATTTTGGTCAGGTGCCAGCGAGGTTATGTTTAGCTTCTTAACCCTTTACAGGTGAGAGGATTTTTCCTCTGGCCAGGAGGGATTTTAAAGGGGTTTACCCTTCCCTTTATACTTATGACAAAAGTGTTGCACTTAGACTTTGATTCAGTTGGCTCCATGGTGAAGGTAGGACCCAACTGAAATATGGAACTCATTCACGTTTGGGTGCTCAATTCTCCACTGTGCCTGAGCAAAGCTTGGGCACCAGAAAGGATAGGGCTGACAGGGACCCTATTGTAGCTCCCTGATTCTGTTTTACCTGGCCTTGGCATGACTGAAAGCTGCATGGGCCTAGCTTTAAATTGTGCTGCTGGTGGTAAACTTTTTATGAGCAAAGAATCCAGGTGTGGAGAAACCTTGCTCTTCCACACTCCCTACCCTTCCCTCTCTTCCCCATATCTGGTCCTAATCTTCCCTCCCTACCCACCTGTGTTCCCCTTCCTCCCATTATGTTGGGCAGCACAGCTGCAGTGGAGGAGGCAATGGTGGTGGAGGAGCTGGTGCAGGTGCTGACATAGCTGCTGCCCCTAGCTTTCCATTGACAAGAGATATCCCACATGGGGAAATTCTCCTGCAGTTTTCTCCAGCCAGTTTAAGTTCATTTTGCCCTGCAAAGTGAACTTAGTGGACCAGAGACTCTGGCCCTGGATTCTTAATGGACCCAAAGTTTGAGGTTGTTCAAGGATTCTGGTTGAAGCACATCTGAACTGTACAGCACTCCCAGGTGATAGTGGTTACCCTCTGAACACCTGTCCTACTTCCAAACTCCTCCAAATGATGGGGTCCACATATTTTAATGCTCATCTGCACTGCAGGCGTTGTATCTTTAACTGATATTGCACCACAGTTATGAAAACAGCACACAACTACTAAAGGGAATATTTTTCCATACCACCTAGCCATCAGATTTTCTGGTTTTGTTTCTTTAAAGAGTAAATGCTTGCTCCTGGTTTCTGTGCCAGCATGTTACCATACAGTATGAAATACCCATATGTGAAAGCAAATGTGAACGTTACTATAACAAGTTTATTGGGGAAAAATTCTAACTGGAGCTGCCTAGTCCCACAAAATTTCCAGCTCAGTTTCCCAGGAACATAGCATTTCTCTGTAGAAGTAATGGGAATTAGGAAAGCTCTGACATGCTGAGTTTTGCCCATAGTTAGTATAACTGTGTGGAATTGGGTTGAACACATCTGTCATAAATATAAAGGGAAGGGTAAACCCCTTGATATCCCTCCTGGCCAGGGGAAAACTCCTCTCACCTGTAAAGGGTTAAGAAGCTAAAGGTAACCTTGCTGGCACCTGACCAAAATGACCAATGAGGAGACAAGATACTTTCAAAAGCTGGGAGGAGGGAGAGAAACAAAGGGTCTGTGTGTCTGTCGGTATGCTGTCTTTGCCGGGGATAGACCAGGAATGGAATCTTAGAACTTTTAGTAAGTAATCTAGCTAGGTATGCGTTAGATTATGATTTCTTTAAATGGCTGAGAAAAGAATTGTGCTGAATAGAATAACTATTTCTGTCTGTGTATCTTTTTTGTAACTTAAGGTTTTGCCTAGAGGGGTTCTCTATGTTTTGAATCTAATTACCCTGTAAGGTATCCACCATCCTGATGTTACAGAGGTGATTTCTTTAATTCTATTTACTTCTATTTCTATTAAAAGTCTTCTTGTAAGAAAACTGAATGCTTTTTCATTGTTCTCCGATCCAAGGGTTTGGGTCTGTAGTCACCTATGCAAATTGGTGAGGCTTTTTATCCAACATTTCCCAGAAAAGGGGGGGTGCAAGTGTTGGGAGGATTGTTCATTGTTCTTAAGATCCAAGGGTCTGGGTCTGTAGTCACCTAGGCAAATTGGTGAGGCTTTTTACCAAACCTTGTCCAGGAAGTGGGGTGCAAGGTTTTGGGAAGTATTTTGGGGGGAAAGACGTTTCCAAACAGCTCTTCCCCAGTAACCAGTATTTGTTTGGTGGTGGTAGCGGCCAATCCAAGGACAACGGGTGGAATATTTTGTACCTTGGGTAAGTTTTGACCTAAGCTGGTAAAGATAAGCTTAGGAGGTTTTTCATGCAGGTCCCCACATCTGTACCCTAGAGTTCAGAGTGGGGGAGGAACCTTGACAACATCTTTTGAGAATAGTGCTATTTTCATGTATATGACACTGATGAGCTTGTTAGGAAAGTCAACCCTGGAGGAAAACCTTAACTTTCATTTAAAAAATGAAGTCCTAATCCTTATGCAGTTAGCTTTGAAATGTAAATCAGTACAAAAAGATGTAAACTAGTCACTGGGTTTGAAAGCAACAAGCAGTTTGGCTCCACTTCTGCAGGATAAGGAATCATTCTGCTTACCATTTCCCACGTTCTGAGGTCATCACTGTGCAGATTGATGTGGTAATGGAAAAAAGAGTTGCTTATGGGTGGGAGTGAGCATGGAGAAGGCAAAAAATGACTAGCCTAAGTTTCAAAAAGCAAGCGCATTAATTTAAATAATCAAAAATGACCATATTAACCTTTTTCCCCCCCCCTCCCTTTACAGAAGATATTTCTCAAAGCCAAAAGCGAAGAAGAAATATTTGCACATCTTGGCTTGGATTACCTTGAACCATGGGAAAGGAATGCGTAAAAAGATTTGCCAATGTACATTCATCAGTACACAGCTTTGGTATATCTTACAGTTTTTATTAGTGCTCATCACTGTAGTATCTTTGTGAATCTATGTATCTATGTTACAAGTGTAACGTGTCTTTATTTATAAAGAGAATTAGTGAAAAAAATGTTAGAATTCATTATAGATGGTGATGTTTTATGTGTGCCTAGAAAGAATACCTATTTCAGCCCCAAAAGCTTCTGTTCCTGAGCTGTGCATGCAGTAGGCAGAGCTTCAGTGACCACAGTGTTACTCCAGTTTTATGCTGATGGATTGGCACTAAAATCACTGGAATAAAACTATAAAGTATTGCAGCAGTGACTCAGGGTATAAATATACACTTGGCCGAGCTCGTGGTGGACTTACAGTCAACTCAACTACACTTCACTGTTCGTGTGTCTGTGACACAATATCTTTTGAATGCCACATCCGCTCGATTCCAACAGTTCAGGCAATGTTCTAGGTACTAATGGCCAGAACCCTATTGATTTTTGGGGAAAATCAGAAAACCAAAAGGGTGGACACATGGAGCCTCTGCCATCTGAGTAGTACAACCACCACTTCAAGCACCTCTGCAATTATTTATAGATCAAGCAACAAGTTTAATAGCAGCAGTTAGCACCTTCCATCTTCACACGTCAACATCTTCCAGCATGACAACACTCCATCTCATTTCAGCCCATCCTCCCAATAGAGTTTAACGTATTGACAGTCTAAATGACTTTTCTGCCAGACATGTCTGCATTCTCCCAGACAGGTCTGCTTTCTGCATTATCATGCTGATACATGAAGCAACTTCCATTGTGTTTTGTATCATGATGCTGACACTTAAACAGCAATGGGATTTTTCAATCCTAGAGCAAGAGAATAAAAGCTACAGTTGCTCATCTAAATACAATTCTTAATTCAGGGCAAAATTGATCAGATAATGTACTTTAGGATTGTGCCATTTCTATGTACTTCATACCACAGAGGAATTATTTAACATTCTGGTTTCTGCATAAAGAAGTGTTTGCAACTTATAATTCCTATTTTGCCTGCATATGCATTTCTCTGAGTTATGTCGCCTGGCGGAGAGTGTATGGCAAATGGAATTATAGCAGACATACCAACTCTTGTGATTTCGAAGTAAAATTAAGCCTGAGTCGTGATCTTGCGATAGAACTCTGAAATGTCAGGATTTTTACCCCAGCCACTCTGAAAAAAAAATCCTGACATTTGAGAGTTCTATCCTGAGATCATGAGTCACACTTAACAATTCTACTGAGAAATCGCTGCCAGCCCCAGTGGCTGGGGCTCCTGCTATCAGGCAGCCCTGGAGCTGACAGGGCTGACAGCAAGAGGCCCTCCTTAAGGGGACACTAGGAGGCTGGGGCTCCCACTGTCAGCCACATGTGTGACCTGAGAGCATCTTAAAGGATCAGAAACCGGAAGGGATATAGACCCACATTTCATTGGCTTAAAAATCATAGATTTTTTTTAACCTCATGATTTTTGGGGGTTTGAGTCATGATTTTTCATTGGTGAGGTTGGCAACACTGCAGCTCCCATAACATAGAAGAAAACATTGCATCAGTTTGGTTCCCTTTTTCTGAGACTTTTTATCATTTGGCACATGGAAAATGAATATATTTCTTGCAAAAAATGACAAGCTGAAATAACTGAGATTCACAGTGAATTCATGAGTTACAAAAATTACTATTATTTAATGAGGTTCTAATTCCTCAGTGAGGTTATCTGATTTCAGTTATACAGTCAGACTAGATAATCATGACGGTTCCTTCTGGCCTTCAGATATATGAAGAAGGCAATACCTGGTATTCACACTTGTATATGAGGAGCAGCTATTCAATTTACTGCCATAGTGTCCACCTTCTTGTAACACAGGACAATATAAATTAGGGAGTGAGCTAGAACATTCACGGTTGTACTGTACATTAAATGGATGCAATGGCAGAAATTTGAGGCTCAGAAGAAGTAAGTTACAAAGGACCTCAGGCGGTGACTAGGCCCAGCTAGTAGGACAAGTTGGGGCGAAGTCAGAAGATGAAGTATGTCCTGTTAATAAAGGATGTACAAGGAAACAAGAACAAGCTGTATAACTATGAAGCAAGAAGAAAGTATAGGCCCACTGCTCTACTGGAAAGCACTGCAAAGAGATGGCAAGTAGAAAACTGAAATACTTTATAGTTACTCAGCTTCAGCATTCAACAAAAAAGTTATTAATGATAACAGGATGCTTATTGCAATAATAGAGGCCAATCCAACAAGGCGTTAAACTCCCTCAGATCCTATTGATTTCAATAGCACTTGAGAGTGCTCAGCATCATGCGTGGCGGGTATAAAAGGCCTATTATAATAGGCGGGTATAATAGGCGGGTATAAGGTGTTGCCTCCCCTAGCGCAGCCGTCCCTACTGGCCAATACCTGGGCTGTTGTGGCCCCTGCTCTGACCCTTCCCCGAGGCTCCCACGGCATACTGCTGCTGCCTGGTGAGTCTTCCTCCTTGCCTCTCCTTTTCTCCACTCCACTCCATTCCCCTCCCGCTTCAGAGGTCTCTGCAGCTGCTGGCAGTGCTCCTCCTCACTCCCCATCCCTGCGGGGCAGAGAGAGTGAGAGTGAGTGTGTGTGTGTGTGTGTGTGTGCGTGCGAGCTGCATGCGGTTGAGTAATGAGGCGAGGGGAGAGGATCCCTCATCCCTGAGAAACTTTACACAAGTGAAAGAGTCTTCCAGACCAGAGACCTAGTAGCGGATCACTGAAACTGTCAAAGGGCCATTGAAGTGGTAATGAAGCCATTTAACAGGCATTTGCCAATGCCCAGGAAGCCTTTGGCCACATTCAGCTGGGTTTTTATATTGTAGGAAAATGTGTTCTGGGGTTAAAAACAGTTTCCAAAGGACTGTCAGTTATTCTCTGTACCCAGCAGAAGTATTTTTGACTAACCTCGCTCAAGGAGGAGCTGACATAGCCAGTGAGTTTATTTCTTGATCTAGTTGTTTTATTCAAACCCAGTTTAAGTAAACAAGTCTGGCAGGGAATTCTGTGTAAGCAAAGTTATTAAACTACTGTCCTAATGCAGGCTGTCAATGACAAACACTTTTTCAAAGGGAGAGATTAGGCTTCAGTTTGGCACAGGTACCCTGGCTTTTCGTCTCTCTCTTTACTGTATACACTGAACTCCCTGCCACACAGAGGAAAACGCATCTGGCAATTTATCTATAACTGTTGCCAGTTCAGTTCCCTTGGGGAATGTTGTTAGTGCTTTAAGGTGAAAAGGGGGGAGGGTCTCGTGGGGGAGGGCAGCAGCAGGGTGAGGAGGCGAGCAGCAAGCCAGCTGCATGGCATGTGGGGGAGGGGTTTGGCGGGGGGAGGGGTGAGGAGGCAAGCAGGGAAGGAGGTGAGTGGAGGGGGGGACCTTCCGGAGGAGGTGTGAAGAGGTGAGCAGTGAGTCAGCTGTGGGTGGGAGCAGGGCCTAGGGTGGAGCAGTGGTGGAATGTGGATGGGGGCTGCGGGTGGAAGAGGTGGGATAAGGAGCTAGCCTCCCACAGGGGAAGTTTCACCCACTGTCCATGCTCAGCACCTTACAAGGTTGGGCCCTTAATTAAGAAAGGGAGAGGTCATGAGGGAGAATCACGATGGAACAGGTTAAAGAAAACAAAACCTAGATCACATATTCTAATCAAGACTTGGAGCCATTGGTAATAATTCTTGTGAACTCATGACGGACAGGTGAGGCCCAGGGGACTGGAAAAGGAGAAACACTTTAAAAAGGGCAGACCTGTTTTTCTGAAGGGAGGAGGGGAAGACAGAATTTCAGATCAGTAATAGTAATATGTATTAAATTGCTAGGATGATTAATAGACTTTATTTTTTTAAGCACCTAGAGAAAAATAAAGTGGTAAATCATGGATAACATAGGTTCATCAAAAACAAATCATATCAAACTAATCAAGTGTTAGAATCCCTGGAGGTTGTTTTAAAAAATGTCTTGTCCCTGCTTTCATGCCAAAGCAATTTGGCAAGGGGCGGGGATGTTGGGCAGGGGGTGAGAAAGGAGAAGGATAGTAATTTTTATAACCTTCTGAGGTCTAACAATTGATCAGTGAGTCTGCCTCTGGGAAAACCAAAAGATTTACAAAGCAAAGTTAAAATAAGAGTAAAATCATTATACATTTATTAATTTTCATATAATTCAGATAATTTTCAATGACTGTCAAATATCCAGGAATATCTGGTGTAATGTTTACCAGCAATAAACATGAGTTCATTTCCCACATTTTTTAGGTATTGTTCTGTTATAGTGACAGATATATGAAGAAAAAGTATTTGTAAGGCAAATTATTGCTCCAAACTGTCTCTTTCAATCCTTTCAAAGCTATCCTAACAGCAATGAGCAATGTCAGGGCATGTCTTACTTTAGGTTATAGGTAACAGCACCAGTGAACCAGAATGAACAATCTACGGTGATGTAGGAGGAGCTGTGGGTGGCTCAATGACTCTCCACAGAAGCTTGAAAACAGATGACATAGCTTTTTGTATCGATTACATTATATAGAACTAAACTCAGCAGTGACAAGCTTCCTGATGCTGAGACTGTTCTGCTACCTTGTCAGAAACCTGAGAACTATCCGCACTTTTTGTGTGGATGGATACACACATAATATTCTTTTAAAATAAAAAAATCAGCATATTACCGTGCCCCATCTTTCTGAACTCTGTAAAGTTGTGTTTTACATTGCACTCAAACCCTGATTTCATTTCTGCCAGAACTGCTGGACATTATATTTTTAGGTTAAGGGGGGTTTTCCTTTTATTCAGAGTTCTGTGAACGTGTGAACTGGAATCTCCCATTTAGAGTAGATGGGTTGTTCTCCCCATGGCATACTTTGTTCCATCAGCTGCAGTTAAAATAATATACTCCTGGGGCAAAAATGTTCAGTGAGGACAATGAAGAGGCTCATAAAGAAATAAAGACGCAGGCTTTGGATGGCTTTGCAAGAAATCTGTCTGAATGGCTGTTGGTGCAGTAATATTCCAAAATCAACCACTGCTGGTTTTGCTCACAGGCAGTAAATGACTTGTAATCTGGGTGCAGGGCAGCTAACTAGCTGAGGTGGATGTGTTTACAGCTGTCTTTTTTTTTTTAATAAATCATCCTAATAAGATGGACTAACTAGTGTTTGCCTGGCTGGATGTGTGCACCAAGCACCTTTTATTTTGATCAGCTAGCACCAGATACAATGTGTCTTAGCTAATCAGATAGTTCCTCAAGGAACAGCACCATTCAGCTCT